TCTTCTCTCAAGGGCAGTTCTCAAGAGAGCTCTCTCAGCCCCACCTGCCTCACAGGGGACACAAAGGTGTCTCAGAGCGGCTCACAAACTCCTTCCCCTTCCCCTCCCCACAACAGGCACCCTGTGAGGGAGGTGGGGCTGAGAGAGCTCTGACAGAAACGGCTCTTTTTCAAGAACAGCTCTTATCAGAGCAACGGCCTGCCCAAGGTCATCCCAGCCAGGTGCAAGTGGAGGAGTGGGGAATCAAACCCGGTTCTCCCAGATTAGAGTCAGCGCACTTAACCACTACACCAAACTGGCTGTGTGAAAGAAGAAGAAGAGATTGGATTTATACCCCGCCCTTCACTACCCAAAGGAGTCTCAGAGCAGCTTAAAAACTCCTTTCCCTCCCCATCCCCACCACAGGCATCCCCTGTGAGGCAGGTGGGGCTGAGAGAGCACTCTTGAGAACTGCCCTTGAGAGAAGAAGAGATTGGATGTATCCCCCGCCCTTCACTACCCAAAGGAGTCTCAGAGTGGCTTACAAACTCCTTTCCCTTCCCCTCCCCACAACAGACACCCTGTGAGGTAAAAGAAGAAGAAGAAGAGATTGGATTCATACCCGGCCCTTCATTACCCAAAGGAGTCTCAGAGCGGCTGACAAACTCCTTTCCCTTCCCCTCCCCACAACAGACACCCTGTGAGGCAGGTGGGGCTGAGAGAGCTCTCTTGAGAACTGCTCTTGAGAGAAGAAGAGATTGGATTTATACCCCATGGCCCTTCACTACCCAGAGGAGTCTCAGAGGGGCTCACAAACTCCTTTCCCTTCCCCTCCCCACCACAGACACCCCTGTGTAGGCGGGGCTGAGAGAGCTCTGACAGAAACTGCTCTTTTTTCAAGAACAGCTCTTATCAGAACAACGGCCTGCCCAAGGTCATCCAGCCAGGTGCATGTGGAGGAGTGGGGGAATCAAACCCGGCTCTCCCAGATTAGAGCCCGCGCACTTCACCGCTGCACAAAAGTGGCTCTCAGGTCCCTGTCCTTCCCAGGCTCCGTCTTCAAATTTCCAGGGGTTTCTCAACCCGAATCTGGCAACCCTACACCCCCCCATTCCAACTCGGGGGGGGGTTCCCCTGGCAACCCTAAGGACGTTGGTGCCAACCTCCAGGCAGGGCCTGGAGATCTTGGACTACTACTGATCTCCAGGTTACAAAAATCAGGGAAAGGACTGCTTTGGAGTGTGGGCTCTATGGCGTTATCCCCTGCTCTACAACCCTGCCTTCCCCAAGCGGCATCCCCCAAATCTCCAGGGACTTCCCAACCCAGAGTTGGTAATAGGGTCTCCAGCTCCGGGTTCAGAAATACCTGGAAATTTAAGAACGTAAGAGAAACCAATGTTGGATCAGGCCAGTGGCCCCTCCAGTCCAACACTCTGTATCACACAGTGGCCAGAAATACCAGGGGCCCTCAGGAGGTCCACCAGTGGGGCCAGGACACCAGAAGCCCTCCCACTGTTGACCCCCCAGGCACCAAGAATACAAAGAATCACTGTCCCAATGTTCCATCTATAAGAACAAAAGAGAAGCCATGTTGGATCAAGCCAATGGCCTATTCAGTCCGACACTCCGTGTCACACAGTGGCCCAAACCCCAAGTGCCCTCAGGAGGTCCACCAGCGGGGCCAGAACTCTAGAAGCCCTCCTACTCACCCCCCCCAGCACCAAGAATATAGAGCATCACTGCCCCAGACATTAGAACATAAGAGAAGCCAATGTTGGATCAGGCCAGTGGCCCATCCAGTCCAACACTCTGTGTCACACAGCGGCCAAAAATACCAGGGGCCCTCAGGAGGTCCAGCAGTGGGGCCTGGACACGAGAAGCCCCTCCCACTCTTGCCCCCTCAGCACCAAGAAGACAGAGCATCACTGGCCTCAGACATAAGAGTATAAGAGACGCCATGTTGGATCGGGCCAATGGCCCATCCAGTCCAACACTCTGTGTCACACGGTGGCCCAAACCCCAAGTGCCCTCAGGAGGTCCACCAATGGGGACAGAACTCCAGAAGCCCTCCTACTGTGGCCCCCACAAGCACCAAGAAGACCGAGCCTCACTGCCTCAGGCATTTGAGGGTGCGCCCAGGGAGAGTGCGGTTTGGGTGTGTGTGTGAGGGACCTCGGCAGGGTATAATGCCATACAGTCCACCTTCCAAAACAACTGTTTTCTCCGGGATCAGTGGAATAAAATTTTAAAATAAATAAATAATAAGCGGTTGATGTCGTCTGGAGATCAGCTGCGATTCTGGGCCACTTCCAGCCCCCATCTGGAGGTTGGCAACCATCATCGGCAATTCCAGGCCGAGGCCTTCCCCTGATGTCGCCTCCCAGCTCTGGCATCCAGAGGACGTGGAGGTCACTTTTAGTTCTCCCGGCTCCACGAAGGGATAAACGTTTGTCTTGCGCCTGTAAAATGCAAAAAGACGAGCAGCCGGCGTGCCCAGAGAAAGACGGGCGGGGCAATTCCCCATTTAATCCCCCATTAATTCCCCATTTGCTCCTCTGTCATTTCATTTATGGAGCTGGAAAGAATCTTGGCTCACCCTGCTGGGAGCGCGGCTCTTACAGACATCATTCTTCATCCAGAGTTCCCCAATCCGAAGATGGGAACTCGCCAGATGCATGCACCGACTCTCTTGCAAAACTGTCCTCCAGTTAAACAGGAGGGTTTGCTTTTCAACTTGCATATTCCCTGGCATTAAACGTCATATTGTCCTTTGCCTTGAGATCTCACGCTGGGTTGAAAAGCAAAGACTGAAGAAAGACAAGGGCACCATCGCATTACAGTTTCCCTTGGACTGCAGTTGTTTTAGGCTGCGGGTGAAGGCTGGCTTGGTTGAGCCCTTCCCTCCACGGGGAACATCTGAGTAATTGGAAGGGGGTGTGGCTCAGTGGTAGAGCCTCTGCTTGGCATGCAGGAGGTCCCAGGTTCAATCCCCGGCATCTCCAGTTAAAAGGACCAGGCAGCAGGTGATGGGAAAGACCTCGGCCTGAGACCCTGGAGAGCTGCAAAGAGGGGCTGTGGCTCAGTGGTAGAGCCTCTGCTTGGCAGGCAGGAGGTCCCCGGTTCAACCCCCAGCAGCTCCAGTTAAAAGGACCAGGCAGGAGGTGATGAGAAAGACCCCAGCCTGAGACCCTGGAGAGCTGTCAAGAGGGGTTGTGGCTCAGTGGAAGAGCATCTGCTTGGCAGGCAGGAGGTCCCTGGTTCAATCCCCGGCATCTCCAGTTAAAAGGACCAGGCAGAAGATGATGTGAAAGACCTCAGCCTGAGACCCTGGAGAGCTGTCTAGAGGGGTTGTGGCTCAGTGGCAGAGCATCTGCTTCGGCATGCAGAAGGTCCCTGGTTCAATCCCCGGCATCTCCAGCTAAAAGGACCAGGCAGAAGATGATGTGAAAGACCTCTGCCTGAGACCTTGGAGAGCTGCTGCCAGTCTGAGTAGGCAAGACTGACTTTGATAGACCAAAGGTCTGATTCAGTAGAAGGCAGCTTCATGTGAGCAATTCTGTGGATACTGATGCAAGCAGGGCCTTTTCTTCCTCTGCCCAACTCAGGTGGTATACCCTCCATCAAGTGATAATCCCAGGAGACCAACAGTGCAATCCTAGATTCAGGTGGGTAGCCATGTTGGTCTGTGCAAAGTGTGGGTCCAGGGGCACATTTAAGACGAACAAAGTTTAATTCTGGGTATAAACTTTCGTGTGGATGCACACTTCTCTGTATCTGAAGAAAAGTGCATGGACACAAACGCTTATACCCAATGCAATCTCAGAAACAGTTACACCCTTCTAAACCCTTCAATAGATTTGTTTGGGTGTAACTCTCCTTCGGAGTAGAAAAGAGCAAGAGCACCTTAAAGACTAACAAAATATGTTACTGCTCACTTCTTCAGATACAGCTAGAATGGGAGTCCATCTGTCCTATTTATTGGAAAGCGGAGTGGTTTCAGATGCCAAATGACAGCAGGCAAATGACGTTAGCAGGTGAATGACAATAGCAGGCGTGATTGTTATCGGCTAAATATCAGGGAAAACGTCCTAACTGTCAGAGTGGTTGAGCAGTGGAACAGACTGCCTTGGGAGGTGGTGGAGGCTCCTTCGCTGGATGTTTTCAAGCGGAGGCTGGAAGACCATCTTTCGGGTATGTGGTAGGGCTATCTTTCGGCTATGCTCCTGCAGAGTGCAGGGCGTTGGACTAGATGACCTGCAAGATCCCTTCCAACTCTAACATTCTATGATTCTATGATTGGATTTAGAGAATACATGCAGAGGGGTGATAGGCGTGGAGAAATCAGCATGGGTAACGAGACAGGAAACCTAGGTCTCGATTCATTCCAGGTGGACGCCTTGTCTTGAGCTTCATGATCAATCGCAATTTTGTTAGTCTTGAAGGTGCTCCTGGACTCTTGCCCTTTTCTACTGCTCCAGACAGACTAACACGGCAACCCATCTCGATCTACCTCCTTAGGATGACACTTCCGGAAGAATCCCAAGCGTGAGTCCTTCCTTCCCACTCCCTGGTCTCATCTACTTTGGCAATCCTGATGCATCTTTAATCAGCACAAGGTTTGGCTCGGGATCTTACTGGATGCTGGGAGTGGGCAGGAGAGGGAGGCGTCAGATGTGTATGTCACTTTGAGTGACAAAGTACCTTAAGGCAGCCCCAGGGGCAATACTGAGATGACAGATTGATGGAGATACATTGATAGCGTCATCCCAGGCTGCACCAAGCAGGCCGCGGGGCTTTCTGCTCTATCAGCCTCTGAATGAGCCGTCCCTCCGAGGGCGTCATTTACAATCAGGAACGGATGGTTATCCAACACCTCCACAAATAACAGTGACGCACCCGGAGAGTCTCTTGCGCTTCCAGCTGCTTCAGTAGGTCGACCTGTTCCTCGTTGCAGGGCTCGACCCGGAGAACTTGGTCACTAGAAAAACAATACGGGACTGTTACTGGGGCGGTGGGGCACGGGAAATGTGGCGTACAGGAGACCCACTCCCCGGTGTAGCTCTCATGGAGGAAACAATATGTCGGGGAGATGTCTCCCTTTGGAGCAGAAGACTTAGGGCGAGTCTGCATCTAGCACTCGCTCCACATTTTCTCAACTGGGAGAGAAACGTGCAGCTCAAAACCACATTCAGATACCCCCGGGGGCAAGGCCGTACTGACTGCAAGATCACCCCTGAACGGCCATAAACCGGTCATAAGTCTACGCAGATGGTACCATAAAATCCGATGAGCAAAGGAAGCGAAAGCGGCACGGAGTGTGGAGGCTACCATAAAACCCAATGATCAAAGAAAGTGAAAGCAGCATGCAATGCGGAGGGGAATTTCGGTTCCAACGTGGGTTTCGTAAAACAAGGGAGGGAAAAGCCAGTGCAGAATCAGTCTTAGAGTTCCGTCTTTGTGAAGAAGCCTAGCCACGTGAAGAAGCCTTTGTGAAGAAGAATAGTAGCCACCAGGGGTCATTTCCTGCGGGAGCGCACAGGAGCGGAACTCCGGCAGTAAAGAGCCCAGGGGGTGGGCACATGCGACAAGCCCCGCCCCCTGCTTTGTAATGCTTAATGCTTTGTAAAGGAAACGACTCTAATGATTTGTTCTACACAGGACACATAAAAATATCTTTCTCTAATTGTGTTAACCCACGACTGTGTTATTATATCACGGTTGTTTTCCTAACGAGCTACAATCTGGAAGAAATGGCTGCTTTGGAGGATGGACTGTATGGTAGGGTTACCACCAGATGTCCTCTGTTTAGAGGACATGTCCTGGTTTTTTTGTGACCATCTTCTTTTGGGCTCTTTTTAAAAAAAAATGGATGAAAATGACCTCTTTTTGGGTTGGAAGTCCCTAGTCTGTAGCATTTACCACAGCTTAAATAGTAGGGGTATTCCATAGAATCATAGGGTTGGAAGGGACCTCCAGGGTCATCTAGTCCAACCCACTGCACAAGGCATGGAATTCACAAATACCTCCCCCCACAAGCCCCAGTGACTGCAGTTCTATGCCCATAAGATGGGAGGGGGGGAACCCTCCAGGTTCTCTGGCCAAACCGGCCTGGAGAAAAATGACTTCCTGACCCACTATGAGATTTGCCATAGCGATCACTTGTTTGAAGTAGTCAGTCAGGAAATATGTCCTCTTTCTTCCTTTTCAAAATATGGTACCCCTAAAAAGTTTTCCCTTGCCTGAAAGCCAGTCGAATCCGACTCTGGGGGCGCGGTGCTCATCTCCATTTCCAAGCCAAAGAGCCAGCGCTGTCCGAAGACGTTTCCGTGGTCATGTGGCCGGCATGACTAGACGCCAAGGCGCACGGAACGCTGTGACCTTCCCACCGAAGGGGTACCTATTTATCTATTTCCAATTTCTTGCTTTCAAATTGCTAGGTTGGCAGGAGCTGGGATCAGAGACGGGAGCTCACTCCGTCATGTGGCACTCAGGTCTCAAACTGCCGACCTACAGACCTTCCGATCTGCAGTTCAGCGTCTTAACCTCTGAGCACCGACAGCATTAGACCCCGCTGAGGTCCCTTCCTTTCCCAAACGCCTCTGTCTCCCGGCTCTGCCCTAAATTCTTCAGGAATTCCCCAAACCCAAAGTTGGCAACCTGGAATCTGAAAGGAGAACTCACCCGACAAATGTTCGCGTGCCCCATACAACCCCGATGAGGGCCCCGAAAAGCAGAATCCACCTCATATCCGGAGACTTGGCCAGAAATAGGGAACTGAAGCTTTGCGGAGGCTGTATTTATAGGTGCCTCTCTCCAGTGCCTTCGTCTAGAGAAAGCTGTCCAACAAGACTCCCATGTGCTCGAATTCTCATGCACCTCTCAAGCTGCACAGGACCTTGACTGATAAGGGAGCTGCCCTCCTGTGGGCCTGCACCCTGCTAATGAGAGGGAAGGCTTGTTGACATGGGGCCCCGCCAAATAACACAGGGAACAGCTGGACGAGATGACTCACTCCCGCCCGAGGTGATGGATGTGGCCCTGAATCATCCCAAGGCACACGCCTCCTCTTTAGGGCGTCCGACGTTCCTTTTAGGGCTTCGCTCAGTAGCAGAGCATCGGCAGAGCACGCAGAAGGTCCCAGGTTCAATCCCTGCCATCTCCAACGGCCATCAGGAGGTCCAGCAGTGGGGCCAGGACTCCAGAAGCCCTCCCACCGTTGCCCCCCCCCAAGCACCAAGAATACAGAGTGAAAAGTACGCAGACGGAGAGTGATTTCAGCAAAGCGTACTTTATTCGATCAGGAACAAGACGACTTTGGCTAGCTTGCAGGCCGGCTTATATTCCCCGAGAAACCGCCACCCAAAACACCACCACCCCACTTCCCAATAGGTTATTTACAGTGGCTGAGAGTCCCATAGGTTCTCGGCTGGGAACCTAGCCCCCTGATTGGAGCGGGCTAGGATCCGCATAGTCCATTGTCTCTTGGAGCAAAGCTCGCCTTTTGTGCCTGACCGCGTGGAGCCCAAGCAGGCCACGCGGTCTGGACTGGATACATTACACAGAGCATCACTGCCCCAGACAGAGAGTTCCAGAAGGTCCCAGGTTCAATCCCTGCCATCTCCCTTGGGCCATCAGGAGGTCCACTAGCGGGGCCAGAACTCCAGAAGCCCTCCTGCTGTTGCCCCCCAAGAAGACAGAGCATCACTGCCCCAGACAGAGTGTTCCAGAAGGTCCCAGCTCCAATCCCTGCCATCTCCCAGGGGCCATCAGGAGGTACGCCAGTGGGGCCAGAGCTCCAGAAACCCTCCCGCCGTTGCCCCCCAATTACCAAGAATAAAGAGCATCACTGCCCCAGACAGAGTGTTCCAGAAGGTCCCAGGTTCAATCCCTGACATCTCCGGATTGAAGAATCAAGAGGCAGACAATGTGAAAGACCCCATATGAGACCTTGGAGAGCTGCCGCCGGAGAAGACAGGACAGCCTTTGATGGGCCAGTGGTTTGATGCAGTATAAGGTGGCTTAGTTTAGCGAGGGGGCGTGGTTTGGCAGGAGAGCAACGGCCATGAACATAAGAGAAGCCATGTTGGATCAGGCCAATGGCCCCTCCAGTCCAACACTCTGTGTCACACAGTGGCCAAAGCCCAGGGGCCATCAAGTGGGACCAGGACACCAGAAGCCCTCCCACTGTTGCCCCCCCTCCAGGCACCAAGAATACAAAGCATCCCTTGCCCCAGACATAAGAACATAAGAGAAGCCAATGTTGGATCAGGCCAATGGCCCCTCCAGTCCAACACTCTGTGTCACACAGTGGCCAAAAACACCAGGTGCCATCAGGAGGTCCACCAGTGGGACCAGGACACCAGAAGCCCTCCCACTGTTGCCCCCCCTCCAGGCACCAAGAATACAAAGCATCCCTTGCCCCAGACATAAGAACATAAGAGAAGCCAATGTTGGATCAGGCCAATGGCCCCTCCAGTCCAACACTCTGTGTCACACAGTGGCCAAAAACACTAGGGGCCCTCAGAAGGTCCACCAGTGGGACCAGGACACCAGAAGCCCTCCCACTGTTGCCCCCCCTCCAGGCACCAAGAATACAAAGCATCCCTTGCCCCAGACATAAGAACATAAGAGAAGCCAATGTTGGATCAGGCCAATGGCCCCTCCAGTCCAACACTCTGTGTCACACAGTGGCCCAAAGCCAAGAGCCATCAGAAGATCCACCAGCAGGCCCAGAACTCCAGAAGTCCTTCCATTGTTGGCCTCCCCCAAGCGCCAAGAATACAGAGCATCACTGCCCCAGACAGAGTGTTCCATCTATACCTTGTGACTCATAGCCACTGAAGGACCTCTGCTCCAGTCAGTGCCGGATTTATGTATAGGCTAATTAGGCTGAAGCCCAGGGCCTCTAAATCTAGGGGGCCTCCACAGCCCTGCCCCCCTCCAGCGGGCAGTCTCCCCTCTCCCCAAATTGCAAACCCAAGACATCATGTGAGGGCAGGGCAACTCGGGCCCAGCAACTACGAAGAAGAAGAAGACGAGAAGAGATTGGATTTATACCCCGCCCTTCACTTGGAGTCTCAGAGCGGCTTACAAACTCCTTTCCCTTCCCCTCCCCACAACAACAGACACCCTGTGAGGTGGGTGGGGCTGAGAGAGCTCTGAGAGAAACGGCTCTTTTTCAAGGACTGCTGTGCCAGAGCTTGTGACTGACCCAAGGTCACATCAGCAGGTGCAAGTGGAGGAGTGGGGAATCAAACCCGGTTCTCCCAGATTAGAGTCCGCGCACTTAACCACTGCACCAAACAGGGCCAGCCAGTGGGGCCCAATTTGAAACTCTGGGACCCAACTGGAATTTTTTTTTTTCTGGGGCCCAAGTTCACAGCAAAGCCTGCAGAATCTTAGAGATATAAATAAAATCCATCTAGATTGCCCTGGTGCGGGGGCCCCCTTAGGAGGGGCCTGTGGGGCCCAATTTGGCCAAATTGCTCCAATTGCCTGATGAGACTGTGCAGGGGTTGGACTGACAAGCCCTGCCCTTCTAGATCCCTGGTGCCACTATTCAGAGTACAGGACCCCAGAGTAGGGCTGCCAAGTGGGGCTGCCAATAAACAATTCATTTTTCTATATCCTGTCTGCTATAACTATTATTAATCAATTTTATAACAATAAAAATATAACAGGAAAAAACCCAGGTATTTCACAGCAATTAGACAGTTCAAATTTCTTATATAATATCAATCTAGTCCCACATTCTTTCATATTTTTAGCATTGTTAGCTTTCAAAATCCCCTTTGTTTGCAAACCTAAACATAGTATTTTCATTTATATTTTCTCCATAACATCAGCTCTCAACTCAATGCCAATATACTTTCACCTCACACCATATAGATCCATCTTTTCTCTCACAACACTTAGGTCATTACACCTTCTCTAGGTAATCAGCCCATTGCTTATATTTTTTTCCCTGCAGGGCCCACTTTAAGAATCAAAACTACCCTATAATTTTTTTATCAACCATCAGTTAGAACATTACCAATATCCAAAACATATTGCTTCAAATAAACCAACCATTACTTCTAACTTTTACTAATCAGTTAAGACAATAAAGATAGTCAATATTTGTAACTACAGATTATATTCTTAATCAGTCATTTATCATCAGTAAAGGTTCAGAGAAAAGAAGGAAGAAAGAAATAATATATAAACAAATATTATTATTTTTTGCAGTTTGAGAGTTCACTTTAGATAAATCTTCTTCTCATTAATCAGTTTACCCATGCAAACGATCAAGATATATTGCTACAGATTAGTTATACAGTTTATATTTCTTCTGTTTTCCCTGCAAATGTCTCCCCAAAATTGTTAATCTCCTGTGCCTTTGATCATTGGTCTCCTCCTCTTCAGTCTTATTTATGTAGTAGTGCTTAAAAGCCTGTTCAGTCTCTGAAGATGCTTTGAAACTCACCCCCTCCCCTTCCAGACTGCTTGTGTGAGAGATCAAACAGCCCAAAGCCTGTAAAAATGCCTCGTTGTGCTTGGTAACTAAGAAAGCTTGAGACTTCAAGCAGTCAGAGTTGTTGTTGTTCAGTCGCACAGTAACCATCTCATCCTTTGCCCTCCCCGTCTTCTTTGACCTTCAATCTTTCCCAGCATCAGGGTCTTCTTCTCCAGGGAGTGCTCCCTTCTCATTGGGTGGCCAAAGGATTTGAGCTTCAGTTTCATTATCTGGCCTTCCAGGGAACACTCAGGGTTGATTTCTTTTAGGATTGGCTGATTTGATCTCCTTGCAGTCCAAGGGACTCTCAAGAGTCTTCTCCAGCACCATAGTTCAAAAGCATCTATTCTTCGGCGCTCGGCCTTCCTTATAGTCCAACTCTCGCAGCCGTACATGACTACTGGGAATACCATTGCTTTGACCATGCAGACTTTTGTTGGCAGGGTGATGTCTCTACTTTTTTGTTATTTCTCTCATATTAAGGATCACATCTCCAGACAGGCCGCATCGGTCGAGGTTTTGGGACAGGGATGGCGTCATCTGCAATGGAGGGTCTGTTATTTCAAGTAAACTAGTCTGTTCACTCTCAAAAACGCTCATGATTTGTTCCAAAACTGGAGAGATAGCTTCAAGTATTTTAGTTTGCATTCGTAGAATCATCTCTTCCCAGAAGGTTTCTGACAGTTGCCCGTCCTCTCCAATTTGTGCTGAAAAAGCCATTTCACACTTAAGCCGAGACACTTGTAAACAATTGTCTCTGTGGAATTATACAATTAAGAGTGCCAGCTTCGTCGCCATTTTATGTCCAGACCGTTTATTTTTCATAAATCAAGTAAGTCACTGTTCTTCAGTATTTAAGGTATTTTCCAAATAGCAGATAGGAGATTTCAATATATTACTCTGCCCCTTGTATTTATATTGACGTTGACGCCCCGGAGCTCTGCTCTGCCACTTATCATAGGAATGCGTGAGGGAAAATTCCTCAGCACCTCCTTTAGCTTCTCGGGAGGATTTATAGGGGCAAGTGAGAGTTGTTTTCCAAGCTTGAAAGTTGTCAAGAAAAAGAAAGTACTCGCAAGTTCATCGCCTAGATGGTATGATGAGGTTTGAAGGCTCTTTGTTAAGGGGTAGTACAGCTTGTCAGTCGTGCTACCATGGCTGGTCTTCGGTGCTTCCTGCGTCAGGACAATTCTGACTCCACACCCGTTGTTGCCACAAACGGGGGGGGGGGGGGGCCCAGTATAAAAAGCCCGCTTCACTTCAATGGGACCAAGGAGAACCAAGGTAGGAGAACCAAGGTTCCCTTGCTCAAAAGCCAGTCGAATCCGACTCTAGGGCTGCGGTGCTCATCTCCGTTTCAAAGCCGAAGAGCCAGCGCTGTCCAAAGAAATTGACCCCTAAAAAAGCTCCAGAAGTTGGTGAGTCTCAGAGCCCCTGAGAAACTCGACCAC